AAGTCATAAATTACTAACCGGGAAAATTATTACCTTTGCCCCCCCCAGGACCCAAGACCCCTGTTACTGGCCTGCTTATAAGTGGGCCCCCCACTTTGAAAAACGTTCCGCCGGCCCTGTAACTACAAGCGGGGCCTAAGAATCATGCGCCTCTCAGTACCTTCCTGAAAATTATAATAAATTTTAGAAAGAAGATGAAAAAAAAACAAACAGTAAAACAAAATAAATTAAAAAATATAATACTGAGTAGTACAGTATTCAGAAACAACGTATCATTCAGTATTGAAAGAAGTTTGCTGCCCTCTAGTGTTTTGGTAGATTACAATTCAGGTGTATGGTAGCTTCGTTGTTAAGCGTAATCATCATTAAGCTACAATCTAGGCTAGTTTTATGAATTATACCGGTATGTAATAACAGAAAACAGTATCCTTCAAAGAGTCATCCTCTCCACGACTAGGCCTTTAGGTAGTAGGTAGGCCGCCCTACTTGAGTCTGCATTTAGCCCAGCCCTAGGCTAGGCGCCATGTGTTAATGTGTCACGCCACCAGTTTATTCAACCAGGGAGTTCTTACATACACGTAGCGTAGCTAGTGCCTAGGTCTTATTGGAATTTTAACGTGAATGCAACAAACAGGTTATATTTTTCAGACTAGAATAACTACATGAGCTCATCAATCTCTCCTGCCAAGAAACGTGCTAAGACTGAGCCAGTAAGTAAAATAGTATTAGTAAACCTCTCCGGTGTTGTGGCGGTGTGTCAGGCCTGTCTAGCCTACTAGTACTAGCCTAGAGTCGGTTTACCTGTCACAGTTTATTCATTTCATTCAGTCTATGTAGGCCTACTGTAGGATAGCTTACCTAGCTTTTGTCAGCACAGTAAACATTTATCAGGAGATTGTAACAGTCGGTCTCCTGATCTGAAGTCCACTGTGTGGACGAAAGCAAGAGTAGAGAATAAAGTTTATTCGCACAAGCAAAACTAGGCCTAGGCCTAGATCTTTATTTCGCACAAATAGCATTCACTCGAAGTGGCATCTTCTTTTAAAACTAGCATTCGCTCGAAGTGGCATTCATTCGTATTGACAAATTGACATCCTTCATTAATATGGTCCTACTATAGACAATTGATATGTAATTAAAAACTTGTGATTGTTGGACAGGATAATATGGGTGAGACATTGGCAAATGGTAAGACAAGTCCGTGGTTTGGTGACCAACCTTTGGAGCAGAACGACCCGGATATTTACAACATAATCTTGAAAGAAAAGGACCGTCAGCGTAGAGGTCTTGAGCTCATTGCTTCCGAGAACTTCGCAAGTAAAGCCGTTCTTGAAGCCCTCGGATCATGTCTCAACAATAAATACTCCGAAGGTTACCCCGGCACAAGGTCTGTACCACACTGTAAATTATTCGTCGGGGCTAGAGATACGGTACCGTATCGGAACTTCCGATTGCTAAAGGTACGGTAAATGATATTACGTCATGTTTAGCCAATAGAAACGCCGATACATGCGTGACATCATTCAGTGCACTGCTGCTGCAAGAATGTGTGAGTGTGTGTTGGCAACGATCGGAGATAAGAAATTTTGTTCGTTCGCGGGTGTTGTTGACAAGCCTGAGGCCTTATAGCAAATGATAGCAGTTTTGCTAGATTTGGCGACATCAAGCGAGAATAAAGTATTTTAATAGTAGAAGCCATGCCTAGGCCTTAGCTACCCCTGCCTTAGCTGAAACCTAGCGAAGCCGGAGGGCCTATAGCTAGAGAGTAGTAGGCCGACCTATACCTAGCTATGCCTAGGTAGGATAGGCCTGCCTGAACATCTCTAGGCCTTGTTCCGACCTTTCCTTGTTGTTACTGCCTATCTTAGGCCCTCACCCTAGTTGAAACCTGGCTATGAATTTAATTTAATTATCGTATGGAAACGATAAAAAGAAACGTGTCTCCAAACCATTCGACTTGCCAATTTGCGTTGTTTCTGTAAAAAGAAAAAACATCATTTGATATATAATGTTGCAGTAATATAGCCTAAGTTTCATGTTTAACAAACGGTATACTGCTTAGCCACCTTGTTCGATTAAATTATTATTCGTGGCCGCACCTTCGGCGCTCCATGCACCGCTGCCGAAATGCATGACAAAAATACCAACTGAGGGCCGAAACGACCCGGGGCCGAATCGACTCAGAGCCGCAACAACTCTATACTTTGTAGTAGCACTACAGTAAGCCTAGCCTAGTAGTATGCCTATAATAGGCCCCTAGGCGGGTATTCGGTGCTAGGCCCTAGGCCTAGCCTAAGTAGAACATTGGTAGACCATAAAATACGCAAGAATAACAGAAAGGATTTTTATCTCAAACATTGCGATAAGCCCCAATTGAAATACATGAAATGGGCCTAAAGTTTTATGACATAAATTTGATCGTAACTGTTCACGCCACACGTTTCACATGATCGCGACGTCGACTTTGCAAAAAAGCCAAAATCGCGTCGGTCATTTCTATTGTCTAATCATGACGTAGTATCATTTACCGTACCTTTGGCAATTGGAAGTTCTGATACGGTACCGTATCCCTAGCCACGGCGTAAATTATTTTATTTGTGCAGGAGACACATCAAAAAAGTACCTACAAATTCAGCAGAAATTTGCTAGAAAAATAGGAACTGTATGCAGAATCACATAGGCTAGGGCTAATTCTCTGATTTGTGCGGAAATTAGCACATATTTTTTGTAATGCGTGGATGGATTTCTAGTGCTAAAATTTTTGCACTGAGGATATATTTGCCTGCAGGCATTATTTTACAGTCTGGGTGGACTCGGGTAGTGGATTGATATTAATAAGTTTGATACTTAATTCGATGTAATCGTGATGATGGTGACAGAAGTGATATTGATAACTATAATTTTATTTGCTGATTATTAAATATTAGAATTATAAAAGACCATGTAAATAATACTGTATAAGATACTGTGTATTTTAGACAAGGTGCCTCAAAAAGGCAAAGCAACACTGAACAGATTTCCACATTTCATTAATCCCTTTTTAACATAAGCCACATTTCCCAGCAAAATTTTGGTGATTAAGAAAATCTGATTTTTATACATGTTATTTTATATATGTGATTTTATAATATGAAATTGCTAGTTTAACTGAATTTAGACATTCCTCAACATGAAAAAAAAATGTAAAGTTCTGTTATCAGATATAAAAAGAGCAAACATAATTTTTTCCGTTGCCAGTATTTGACACTTGTGAAATAAAATATTTCATTGTATTTTTTTCAAATAAAAAAAAAAAATGATTCTGACTGAGATTTTGACATTTAAACAAGCATATGTTAGGCCTACTCTATCGATCGCAGTGTGCAAGATGCAGAATACAAAAGCTAATCTCATTAGAGAGGGCTCACTTTATTGACTGTATAATGTATACACAAAAGCTAGAGGATTCCAGCAGATGTGATCTACAACCTCCGAATTAATGAAGAAGTCATAAAGAGATTTGGTAATCTCCTACGAAAAGTAGTCTATTTCTCATTTTTTATCCTTTTGCGTAAAACTAAAATTTATGCCAATATAGTAGTTTCTCGGCCGCTTTGTTTTTTTTTTTTTTATATATTCAATTTTTAATCAAAATCGATCGCATATTTTGTCTTAGTTTACCTCATTTTCGTAATTTTGACTGTTTACTGATCGTGAAGATCATTGTAAGAAAGAAAAAATGGACATTTCTGATGGACTGTTTTGTTGAGTAGCTAAAATGCATTATAGTGCAGTCTTGCAGTTAATTATAACGCTAGAATAATAATGTTGTCTCTTTTATACACTTTAAAGCATGTTTGTTTACATATTTTAAACATTTTATCTAGTTTGTACAATGTAACATCTTGCCCAACATGGTGTAACAAGATACCCTTGACCAGGGGTAATTTGTTACAGTTGATCTACTTCATTAATTAATTAATTAATGATTAATTAACGGATTCTTTTTATAACCAATATACTGTTCTTGCATTAGAATAAAAATGGTGTGTTTGTCTCATTCAATTACGTAATTAAGGAACAATATGTAAATTTTGTAACAACTGACCCCGGTCTCCCCTATTCGTATGTGTGTGCATACGTACGTGCACACACTAATCCGCCATCTAAATTTTTAAAGCCGTACTTTGGTCGTTCTGTAAATGAGACGAGGTTGACATTGGCAGATGTGTTCAATAAATACGCCAGTGGCCAATTTGATGGCCCAATAGCCGACAAATACATGAAAGTGCAAGTATTGGTTGGTTGTACAATAACTCTAGGCCTAGTTATACTATTTAACACTGTACATAATTTTAGTTGCATCGCTGAAATACAACTCGGACCAAACGGCCAAGATTTCTTTTTGAACATTGAAAGCCTACTATGCTTGACATTCTAAATGCCTACATGATCTTTTTATTTACATTTGTAGTGTTTATAATTTAAATATTTGTTTTGTTTTGATTGTTCTAGCATGATTTTTAAACTACATCACAACATAATTAAAATTACATAGATAGCATGCTTTTTTTTATTTCGCCCCCCTTTTATTTTTTGTTTCTTATAGAAAAAAAAAAACCCGCCCTCATTCTCTTAAAAAAAAAAAAAAAATGAGGACGAGAAACTACTTTTTTTTTAACTTGGCCTTAGAGAACAGTAATGTATGCATTTGGAAAAAAAAAATTTATAGTGAATTTTTGTTGGGAATGTGGTTTTAACATATATTTAAGACTGTTCACACCAAACCTGTATATTTTAGGATTTTAAAGTCTTGTCCAGATTATCAAAATGTTATTTGACAAAAGCATACTGTATGACATGCCTAAATATGGTCATGGTGACATCACATGACCATATATAGGCATATTATGACTATAAATGCGCATACTACAGTTTTTTGTAAAATTAAATTTGACTGCACAGGATATGGGATTATAATTTTGCAGGAGGACACACTCACCTCAGCTCAACCATGGTTGTCATAACATCTGAGATTGCATTTTGGTGCATTAGAAAAGGCAAAATATCCAATGTTCGAATGTCAACAACTTCCATGCAAATGGTACTTTTCACTAGTAATTTAAAAGGGCTTTTCTATAAAAAAAAAAAAAAAAAAAGTGGGGGGGGGGCTCATCTGATACCCCTGGCTACTGGCATGAATACTGATACAAATTTAATAGCATTACTGTCTAACAAGTTGAATTGCCTTTTAATCCCATTTACTATCACATTTACAATATAATTTCTTTTGAATAAGTTTAGTATAATATTTACTATATTAGATGAGAATGTTTGTAATCCACCTTTTTTTGAAAGTACAGTAACATCTCCCAATTACGAATCTCCCAATTACGAACTCTTGATTTTACAAACCCAATTTGCAGCGATGACATCGTTACGAACGATTGTTTTTAAGTAGAAAAACCTTTAAGATTGTATTTAAAAGTCTTCAGAAATAATATAAAATGCTATATCAGCTGAGAAAGGAAACGTTTTAATAAACCAGTAAAGTAACATAAAGCTAAGTTTAAAGCAAGCACTCTTTCTTAATTGGGGGTGCTATAAGCATGGATTTGTGATTTTTATGAACAGAATAACACACGTTTTGGTCATTGTTGGTCATGGTTTTGTTCGGAAACACTTCAAATGAAAACTTTACAGTGAGCACAGGTGATTTTGGCTTCTGTAAATTATTTGTTGCAGGAAACAGTAAAATCCAAGACATTTTTTGTGACAAAGGCCTACCTTCTTCACACTGGGTACTATAAAAATTTGATTTTTCTGAATTACAAATTTTTTCAATTACGACCTCTGTTCGGATGGAGGGATACGTAATTGGGAGTACTGTATGAATTAGTCTTTACTGTATGAATAAGTCATTACAGTAAACTTTATCACAGTGAAAACAGATTATCATAATTACCTAGTTTAAAATTTGTACTGAATTGTGGCTTCTCTTTAATATAGATATTATGGAGGAACAAAATACATTGATGAACTTGAGCTTCTCTGTCAGAAACGTGCTCTGGAGGCATTCGGGTTGAGCCCTGACAAATGGGGTGTGAATGTCCAACCCTACTCGGGGTCCCCTGCCAACTTCGCCATCTACACTGCTCTGGTCGAGCCACATGGTCGCATCATGGGCCTGGACTTGCCTGACGGTGGCCACTTATCCCATGGTTTCATGACGGACAAGAGGAAAGTGTCTGCTACTTCTATATTCTTTGAGTCCATGCCATATAAGGTCGATCCAAAGTCGGGGCTGATCAATTACGAACAGTTACAAGTAAATGCTAAACTGTTTCATCCAAAACTAATCATTGCTGGTAAGCATGAACTGATTATTTTTGAGACTGAAAACTAATGCCCTGTCCAGACTAACAAATTTGATTTGACAAAATCATGTGGCATGCCTAAAATGGTCATGATGACATCACATCATGACCATATATAGGCAAATTATGACTATTTATGGGTATACAACAATTTTTTTGTCAAAGAAAATGTTGTAGTGTGTCCAACTAAAAAAAAAAGAGAACCTGTCCAGAATACAGGTATCTAATTTTATTTGACAACATGTGCCATGCCTAAATATAGTCTTGATTAAAATATAAAATAAACAAGTAAAATAAAGAAAATTTGATATTCTGGTATAGAGCTTAATGAAAACAGGATGCAAAAGTAAAAGACCTATGATGTACGAATAATTATGCAAGCTTGGAATTATGCTCTTTAACAGAAACCAAATTGCCTTACCCCCAACTAAAACCAAACTACACTTCTAGGGTAGTAATGTTTAACGAGTCAGTATTAAGTCCTAATGCATACATACCCCACCCATCAGCGAACTATTTTTCCAGGGTTGTGACTTTTAAAATGTTGAATGCCAAACTTTTTCCATTCCATACACCAAGGCATAATTAAAGGGTGCTCTATACTGAAAATCATTCTTATCAACTGTAATGAAACACAAAATAACATACTGTATGAAACTTCCGAGGTTAGAGTTTGTGTACTGACAAACACTGCCAGCAAATTTACTTCCCATACATTAGTGGTATGTTGGACAGGTGTGGACATGAAATTGTGTCATTGGCGTCCTGTGTGAACCCTCTTGCACGTGAACTCTGTACTAATTCTAGCAAACAGTGACTCAAAAAGGCTCTCATATTATTTACAAATTGTAATACAATTCAACACAAACCAAATCTAAAATTGACAACATGACGCAAATTGGCAATTATTTTGATATATAATATAATAATTATATAATTTATATTTAGGTATCAGCTGTTACTCAAGAAATCTTGACTACGCTAAATTGCGTGAAATTGCTGATGAAAACAACGCACTCCTACTAGCTGATATGGCCCACGTCAGTGGTCTAGTGTCCGCTGGGCTCGTGGCGAACCCATTCGAACATTGTGATTTGGTTAGTAGTACGACACACAAGACACTACGTGGTCCTAGAGCAGGAATTATATTCTTTAGAAAAGGTTTGTCTAATGATTATTTTTTCCTTGGTTTAGTATAACCTAATCTGGTGGTAGCCACTGTGTGCACTGAACCTTGGAGATCTCTTGGTCTCCGGTTCAATTCCCATCGCTGCTCTCCTTGTATTTCAGCTAGAGGGGGTGAAATGCAAGTTACGATAGCGCACCGCCTTTCAGATGAGACGTTAAAAACCGTTGGTTCTGTGTGCATTATGGCTCATGTGCACTTTAGAGAAAGCAGTACACTCTTCAGAAAAAAATTAGGGGGTTGTCCCGGTGTACTGCCAAATCGCCACTAGAACAGACCCCATTGGAAATTTCTTTCTTTTAGACTTTCGTGGGTTATCCTTGGTGTTTACACCAATTATATCCAATCCAATCCAAGGTAATTTATTTTCCAATCCAGCCAAAGTTGTTTTAAATGCAGTTCCTGGTATGAAAGCATAATGTTTACCATCATTGAGTACCTGATCTTAGATCCTCCTACCACCAGCAGTCCCTCTGCGCAAGCACCCTGAGTAGAGGGACTTGAACCCCTCAGTCATGGTCTAAAGATTATTGAAGGCGATGTTTTTCTCACACCGAATCAGTGGGGTTAAAGAAAAAGTAATTATGTAAATAATATTTCACCCAGAAACGGTATTCTTGTGTGTGTGGCTTTGTTTCAAATTTCTTGTTTTGTTTTTTCTAATTTCACAAGGTGTTCGTAAAGTATTAAAGAATGGAAAAGAGGAGATGTATAACCTTGAAAAGCCAATAAATGAAGCAGTGTTTCCCGGACTTCAAGGAGGACCACATAATCATGCCATTGCAGGTAATTATGTCGGTGCTTCTTGTAGATTTATAACAAAACATGAAATTTACATGTTTAATATATATGTTTACCTAGATGGCATAATTTTTTGTTAATCAAGTATCGTTTTTGTATTTTACATTGTAAATGGTTTATATTTTACTTGCTCTAACTGGAAGGATGTACCTTTCTCGTATTATTTTAGACTAGGATGAAAGCTCTGTTGGCTATAACTGGTGGAAGCCACACTGAATTGAATTAAAACATTTTTCCCTTGGTCCGTTCCATCGCTCCTCTCTCTGTAAGTGTGTGCTAAATTGCAGGTTACAATCGCGCATCATCTTTCGAAAGAATTGTTGGTTCCCTCTGCAATATGGCTCATGCCAAAGTTAGATATTACAGTAGGGGATCATCTCATGATGTACTACAAAACTAAAAAAAATCCCATTAGAATGAAGTCTTTGGACTTTGTTTAGTTTGTTTCACATGGAAAAGATAAACTTTAAGGTTTAACCATATCTTTTTATTCACAGGCCATCAGCCATATTTTGCAAAATACAAAATTCCATCGCTCCTCTCTCTGTAAGTGTGTGCTAAATTGCAGGTTACAATCGCGCATCATCTTTCGAAAGAATTGTGGTTCCCTCTGCAATATGGCTCATGCCAAAGTTAGATATTACAGTAGGGGATCATCTCCTGATGTACTACAAAACTAAAAAAAATCCCATTAGAATGAAGCCTTTGGACTTTGTTTAGTTTGTTTCACATGGAAAAGATAAACTTTAAGGTTTAACCATATCTTTTTATTCACAGGCCATCAGCCATATTTTGCAAAATACAAAATTCCATCGCTCCTCTCTCTGTAAGTGTGTGCTAAATTGCAGGTTACAATCGCGCATCATCTTTCGAAAGAATTGTTGGTTCCCTCTGCAATATGGCTCATGCCAAAGTTAGATAACAGTAGGGGATCATCTCCTGATGTACTACAAAACTAAAAAAAATCCCATTAGAATGAAGTCTTTGGACTTTGTTTAGTTTGTTTCACATGGAAAAGATAAACTTTAAGGTTTAACCATATCTTTTTATTCACAGGCCATCAGCCATATTTTGCAAAATACAAAATTCCATCGCTCCTCTCTCTGTAAGTGTGTGCTAAATTGCAGGTTACAATCGCGCATCATCTTTCGAAAGAATTGTCAGACCCCATTGGAAATTTCTTTCTTTTAGACTTTCGTGGGTTATCCTTGGTGTTTACACCAATTATATCCAATCCAATCCAAGGTAATTTATTTTCCAATCCAGCCACAGTTGTTTTAAATGCAGTTCCTGGTATGAAAGCATAATGTTTACCATCATTGAGTACCTGATCTTAGATCCTCCTACCACCAGCAGTCCCTCTGCGCAAGCACCCTGAGTAGAGGGACTTGAACCCCTCAGTCATGGTCTAAAGATTATTGAAGGCGATGTTTTTCTCACACCGAATCAGTGGGGTTAAAGAAAAAGTAATTATGTAAATAATATTTCACCCAGAAACGGTATTCTTGTGTGTGTGGCTTTGTTTCAAATTTCTTGTTTTGTTTTTTCTAATTTCACAAGGTGTTCGTAAAGTATTAAAGGATGGAAAAGAGGAGATGTATAACCTTGAAAAGCCAATAAATGAAGCAGTGTTTCCCGGACTTCAAGGAGGACCACATAATCATGCCATTGCAGGTAATTATATCGGTACTTCTTGTAGATTTATAACAAAACATGAAATTTACATGTTTAATATATGTTTACCTAGATGGCATAATTTTTTGTTAATCAAGTATCATTTTTGTATTTTACATTGTAAATGGTTTATATTTTACTTGCTCTAACTGGAAGGATGTACCTTTCTTGTATTATTTTAGACTAGGATGAAAGCTCTGTTAGCTATAACTGGTGGAAGCCACACTGAAATGAATTAAAACATTTTTCCCTTGGTCTGTTCCATCGCTCCTCTCTCTGTAAGTGTGTGCTAAATTGCAGGTTACAATCGCGCACCATCTTTCGAAAGAATTGTTGGTTCCCTCCGCAATATGGCTCATGCCAAAGTTAGATATTACAGTAGGGGATCGTCTCCTGGTGTACTACAAAACTCAAAAAAATCCCATTAGAATGAAGTCTTTGGACTTTGTTTAGTTTGTTTCACATGGAAAAGATAAACTTTAAGGTTTAACCATATCTTTTTATTCACAGGCCATCAGCCATATTTTGCAAAAATACAAAATTTGCTTACTAATCATTAATTTATTTATGTGGTCATTGTCATTTTTGTTCTTTTTTATGATCTTTTAATTAAGTTAGACTAAGAGATGTTCTTTTGTATACTTTTCTCCCAATTTCCTTCATTCCATTTTATTGTTGATCTTGTTTTTGTATACTTTAATCTATTTTGGTCTCTTTTTTCTTACAAACCCAATTCTGTTCGTCATTCAGGGTTCTTTTTCAAATTCTATTTTAATGTGTTTTTTTATGCCATTTTAAATTTTATGAATAAAAGATTTCTTATTGTGTTAGCTTCAAAATGCAACTGATGTAGTATACTTCAAATTGACAACATCACTTGTGTCTGAAGTTACGGTTCATTTCTAATTTCAGGTGTAGCAGTAGCCCTTAAGCAGGCCATGCAGCCAGAATTTAAAACATACGCAAGTGAAGTCATAGCAAATGCTCGGGTTATGGCCAAATGTCTGATGGATAGAGGCTATGATATTGTTACAGGTAAACAAAACAAATATTACATTATTCTAATATTTTTAAATATTTTTATTTCATTTTATCTTCCACATAATTTTTCTATATGTGCATGTTTTTGCACCTTGTGTGCAAAAATCTCAAACAAATGTTGCTGCCTAGCCTAATGCACACAATAAACCTAACCAGCATTTCTACTCCATTGGCAAACACAAATGAAGCCTAAGCCTAGGCTAAATGAGATAACAAGGTGATTGACTTAAAAGCAATAATTTTCAAGTTATTTTTGGTGCTGTTTTTCAATCAAAGCTGTTGTTATTTCAGTTATTTGGTTTAGTTTAGTAAGTTAGTTAGTTAGTTGGTAACAGTATTCAGTTAATACTGCAAAGAATATTTTGTTCTATCCCCAGCTAAATGAACAGTGAACCTTCAAAATCTTTCCTATTTGTAGGGTAGATGAGATTTCAAAGTACTTTATAAAGCAACAATTTTGAAGTTGTTTTGGGTGCTGTTGGAAAAATTTTAATTAGTAAATCTACTTGTTGAAATCACACCTCTGTTCACAGTTTGTTGGTAGGTTTTATGATTATAAGATTTTGTGTATGTGCGGTCAGTCTAATTGTTGGTACATTTCTCTGAAAAGTTCAGGGATGGGAATGGTATTAGCATGTGTTCAGAAGATTTGACTGATTCGCACTGATTTTTTAACTTCATTAATACTATCCTGTTCAGTCGTTTTGGGCACTCTTCACTTGGTTAAACTAACAAAGCGGCACAGGTAAATTTTTCATGGGTGTATGTTTTTTTATTTGAAAAAGAAACTTATTTAATCCAGCGCATTTGTACATCCACATAGGTGGCACTGATACCCATCTTCTTCTGCTGGATCTTCGCTCCAAGAATTTAGACGGAAACCGAGCAGACAAGGTTCTTGAGGAGATTTCCATTGCGTGTAATAAGAACACGTGTCCAGGCGATAAAAGTGCACTTAGACCAAGCGGCCTGAGGTTTGGCACGCCAGCTCTCACATCCCGCAACCTTAAGGCAGAGGACTTTGAAAAAGTGGTTGATTTTATTGACAGAGGTTAGTTCTTGACTTTCGACAGTTGTTCCTACGCTGTTATCAATTCCCTTATTTTCAATAAAGATTTTAGTAATATGGCGCCCCCAATAGACACAATTGGTAACCCTGAACTAGTCGTAGTCAGGTGATGCTTAATTGATAGAAAGTACATGAAGAGGGTATGTTTTGATTTTAAAGCAATGATCCAAACATAGTATAATGAATACAAAAAGTAAAGTCAGGCAAAAAATATTTTTGATGTTATTAAACTGAAAGGGTGCTTGACAAAAAACAGATACAGATTTTTGAATTTTTAAAAAAACCAACTTATTTTACACCTTCTCCCCAAGTTTTTAAATATTAAACAAAAAATCTGTATCTCATCAACCATTCCCAAGTTTTTTTGTGTCTTATAAAAATCAGATGTACAACATATCCAAAAAAAAATTCCTCCGGAGCCTGACTTTAAACAATATAGAGTCCTCTGGGACACCCAGAGGGGACACTTTTTTTTTGGCTGTGAAGTGGGAAAAATGTATCTTTTCAACACTAGAGCAAACCACCCCCCCACTCCCACCTTCAATGGACACCCCCATATAAGTGACTCCTTTTTGGTCCTGAAGGTGTCCATTTAATAGGGATTCTACTGTATTTTAAAATCCCGAACCTTATGTTTAGTGCACTAAAAGCGTGAGGCGCAGCATGTAAGGTATTGGACGGAAGGTTGGGAGTTCAAGACTGATGGTCATCACACTGCTTATGTCCTTGGGTAAGACACTTTATCTGTTCCCTCTCTTCACCCAAGAGTATAAATTGGTACCTGGTAGGAGGTGAATGATTCAGAATCTAATTAGTGTTGAACTATACACAAAGGGGAATTTCCCTACACTAGGGAAAAAGTGCATTGAGCAGTTTTTATAGATATGTACACTGTACAAATCCTTTAAAATAGATGAATAAATAACCGGTTATCACATATTTATTCAATTCGTTTTCTTTTCAGGTATTGCTATCGCCTTAGAGATCAAAGCTGCCTCAGGTCCTTTGTTGAAGGAGTTCATGGCTACTATGGCAACAGAGGAATACCAGAAAAAACTAGCAGCATTGAGGGATGAAGTGGAAGCATTTGCCACGAAATTCCCTCTCCCGGGAAAAGACGTCCTGTAGGATTTCCTCTCCAAGGAAAGTTTCAATTAGGAGAATTATATTGGACAATGTTCTTTGATAACTCCCCAGGAAAAGACTAAAGGACCAAAAGTCAATCATGGTTTATTTTTGAACATTTCTGATTGTTGTAATTTTAAAATTGTAGGGATTGGGATAGTGGACCACAATAAATCATTTAATTATTATTAATTTTATTGTTTAAAGCTCTGTCCTCTCTATCAAATGTTATAGGACAAATAAATGTGATATGTCCATATGTTGGATGTAACAAGCTACACATATTTGGTCACAAAATTTAATAGTGCAGACAGAGCTTAAAAAAAGCTTTGTGTGTGCTAATGTGTATAAATTTTTATTCATTCCTAGAGGAAACGTAAATGAGATTTACAGATATTTATTAGGGCAGTGATGATATTTACATCACCATAAACAGATAATGGAATGGTAGGTTAACATCAACTCGATTTCTCCATTCATTCTCCCTCAGCATCTTGCCATTAGCATTTGTGATTTCTTTTTCTGCATGAACTTTTACGTTATATTTCATCCATTAAGGTGGTGGCTGGTGAGGGGGTGGTGTGATAACACACCACACAATAAGATGGATAATTCAATTGCCTTTTTATGGTGACATTTAATATATCCATTAAATTTATTAAACAAACGGTAGCCATATATTGGTTGGTTGGTTGGTTATACAGTATTGGTATATAAATAGATCCATTATAAACCAACAAATTAAAAATCAGGAAGTCAAATCCATAATATTGAATTCATATTCCAACTATTGGCGATAACCATTGCTGTAAGTTATGCTCTTCCAATAATTGAATATTCCCCCACTACAAGGTGATATGAATGTATTTTTTTAGTTTTAAATTTAATGTGTGTTACGACTCATTATTTTTATTCATTTTTAATAAATAAACTAAAATTAATAGTTCATACTATTTTTTTAAGAAGTGCACTTATGATTTTATAGTAGATATTTTGATTTTACTTAGTTTGGTTTCAAACCATATTTTCAAATCCAGGTGCTTTCGTGGAAAAAAAATGTGCTTCCACTGTAAGATGGTGTGTATTAATCACTGGTAAATTAATTAACAGTGTGTCTGTTAATTATGTGTACTGCTAGAAATACTGTACTAATAAAAAAAAAATCAAATTGGATATTTTTTAATCAGCCTTAATTACTTTGTTGGTGGTGTTGATGTACTGTACCATACGTAGCTGAAGCAAATAGTTCCAGTGGCGTAACAGCAAGTCACAGGCCCTGTGGGCTAGAAATTGCGCATTTTAGTATTAAATCAGTAGATTATAAATGTCATGAAAGTTGCTGAGGGGTCCCTTCACAGAATATCAACAATACTGTAGCCTGTTATGTTATATTATTGATTGTCTAAATTTAAATACAGTGTAATATCAAAGATAGCAAATTTTAACGACTTAGTACTACATTACATACTGATCATCCAAATTTTACACCAGGTGTATGTGTATCACACTTATTATTATTTTTTTTTTTATTATACTTATTTGGATCAAATGTGTATTTGTGAATGTTAGTACATTTTACACTATCCTATATCCTGTTTAGATAACAATAAAGATTTTTGTGTACAATAAAAAAAAAAAAATCTTCAGTTGGAAGGTATTTATCCGAAGCAAATGCGGTTGGGTGCTGAAATATTTGGCTGTTAAATTGACACGTGACCCCTATCCAGGGATACAGGATTTTAAAGTTAGTGGGATCTAAAAACATATCCACCCCACCTCCACCATGGTTAGAACTGATGTATGGACATATGGTACCTCTGTATGCCCAGGAAATAGGTGACAAACCTGTAGTCTATAGTAGTATCCTTCCCCATCCTGCTGTCAGGCATAATATTTAAAGCTAGGGACTATATTTTATAACCACCTCAGCCCCACCATAGGGCTGATGTGAGGTTTCGAAGGGCCCTGGTTCGAGAGTAGATTCGTGGCCGTTTACACATAGAAGTTGGACAATCAGGCAAACAATTCTTATACATAGGAGTGATGTTTTGCCCTACCTGACGTGTTATCGTACCGAGTACCCCAAATACTAGCGAAAAAAAATCGCAAGTGATTCAGGTGGGGATCGAACCCAAGACCTCCAGGTATCTAACCTGACGTCTTAACCACTAGACCACCGAGCTTGTGCTTCCTGACGCAAAATCACATCGTAATATAATTCTTATACAGTTTTTAATTACACTTTTACTGAAGTGATCCGTAGTAAAACCATCTCCCACTGAACAAATTCGGGGCCAGAAAAATTATACAAATGAAAGGGAATTATTTACAATTATTTATTTCTATTTACTGAAGTAATATACTGTAGTACCCTCTCGGATACCATTCTGGTATTTCTGAGACCAGTTTTCGGGCGCGGGCTGGAAAATTGATTTACTAATTGTATTACTGTATTATACAGGTAATAATACTGTAAAGTTACTTTATTGTCATAAAAATACACAGCACTATATATACTGTATACATCGTACTTTTGCTAAGATTAACTTTGGTAGCCTGCATATAGAGTTACATATGGGAGTAATAGTGCCCGTATGGGCCTAAAAACTTTGGTCAGAGCATGCTTTTGTTAAGTTGACAGCATACCGAATAGATCCACATAGCTATTGACTTGGTCCGCCGGGCAAAGGGGTGTGTGTGTGGGTGTGTAATGTTCCCTCCCACAGGAAGATTTTTTTAGAGTATGACCTTACATGGCATCCTACTCTTCCCGTATGACTCAAGAAACAATTGGCCTATATTTACAAAAGTGGGCCTAGAAAAAAAGGTATAGCAGCATAACTCAAAATTATGACCAAATCACAATTCTTATGCCTATTTCAAATCAATGTAGGTCTTTTGTGAAATTTAACGTGATCAAAATTCAATTTCTTATCAGTTCCATAAATAGATGTATTGATAATCAGGGGCGGATTCAGTGGGGGCCGTGCCCCCCTCCCCCTCTCCTGCGTCAGTCCCGCCGAAATATAAAAAGAGGAAGAAAAAAAATTGAGAAGAAAAGGGAGAGAATGGGGAAAAAAGGAAGTGTACCCATGTGTTCAGTGGCGGACCTAACAGTGGGCGAAAGGAGAGTTCGATTATTTTACTACTCACTAATTTTGAATTTTCTATTGATTGACGACGAACACAATGCTATATCCCCAACTCCGATTTTTTCCCAACGATTTCGTAAATCAGAATCTACAAAAGGTCATAACACAGCAGGGGTGGCGCCAGGATTTGCCCGACGGGGGAGGGGGTCCGATGCCCCGACGAGAGGTCAGATTTC